TCGATTCCGGTCAAGGGCATGTACCTGAGTTGCGGGCACATCCCCGGTGGGGGATGTGCAGGAGGCGGCTGATCGATGTTTCTTTCTCATCGATGTTTCTAACTCTCTGTCTCTCTCCCTTCCTCTCTGTGGAAAATCAATAAAATATATATATAAAAAAAGAAATATTGATGAGAGAGAAACATTGATCAGCTGCCTCCTGCATGCCCCCTACTGGGGATCGAGCCTGCAGCCCAGGTATATGCCTTTGACCAGAATCGAACCTGGGACCCTTCAGTCCATGGGCCAATGCTCTATATACTGAGCCAAACCAGTTAGGGTCCCATCTTCTTTATAGTACCTTACATAGCACTGCATGTTATGCATGTGCTGGTGTGCTCCCTCTCACTGGTCACATAGCAAATTTAAGAAGGAAGCTATTAATGAAACGAAAATATCGTGTCAATCTTGGTCTCAGACCATACTCGATCAGAAAGTATCTGGAAGCTATAACCAGGATCAGGCAGGGTATCTTGTCTTCTCAGAAACTTCTCAGTCTTGTGGCAAACACTTCAAGATAACCTCTCACAACACCAACCATAGGTATCAATTTGGTATTCAATGCCAGCAAAAGGCATCCACGTGTTTGTTATTTTGAGGCGTTTTTTTTTCCTTCCAGTCTCCAACCTGAATCTTCTTGTATAGGTGAGCCACCATATCACAATTGAGCTTATGTGGCCTTGAGACAAGTCACATTACAGTCAATGCACTACTAACAAGCCTTACTAAAACAAATCTTTCCAAGTCCCATATATGATCCATTTATTTAAACCAGTATTTAATAAAATGAAACCATTTGGATGGTCTTTGGAGTCTCTTTGTAACAGGATTTGAGCTACTGTATATCCCACAGATGCTGAGCATACATCCTAACCAGATGACTAAGTCATTATTTAAATGATATTTAACTGGTACCTCCTTCCATAAAACTATTTGAAGTTTCTCCTCAGAACTCTTCCCCTGTCCTGGGTGTTGAGACTACAGGTAATAAGGCTCACTGTTTCTTTCCTTGCAGGAGTGCTCAGATTGCTGACCTTCAGCAGAAGCTACTGGATGCAGAAAGTGAAGACAGGCCAAAACATCGCTGGGAGAATATTGCTACCATTCTGGAAGCCAAGTGTGCAATGAAATATTTAATTGGAGAAGTAAATATTACTCTTCCTACCAGCAATTAGGGATCTGGCTTGGTAGATTGAAATAAGATGTTAGCCTGGAATACTGTCATTGTGTCATTGCCACTTTTCATGATAAAAACCGCAATAACACTAACATTAGAGAAATAGTTTTATGGGTAAAAGCTGGTATGAGCAAATGCTCAATAAATGTTTGCTCTTATTATTAGGAAAAGATCAGGATGCCATAATAGGCCACTACTTAAACTATTATACTATAGTACTTTTTAAAACACCCATATTTAAAAAGTTTAAGCCCTAGCCAGTTTGGTTCAGTGGATAGAGTGTCAGCCTGTGGACCAAAGGGTCCCAGGTTTGATTCTGGTCAAGGGCACATACCTTGGTTGCAGGCTCCTCCCCGGCCCAGGCCCTGGTCAGGGCACGGTGCAGTAAGCAACCAATTGATGTGTTTCTCTCACATCAATGTTTCTCTCTCACTCTCCCACTCTCTCTAAAAAAGATCAATGGAAAAATATTTTGGGGTGAGGATTAACAACAATAAAAAAAAAGTTTAAGATACAATCTAGGACAGACAAATTAATCACTGGCATACAGAGATTTATCTTAAAGAAAATGCATCTTCACTGACCTTAAAATAGTCTATCATCTTACATTGTCACAAGAGGAATTAAAGTTGGTCACCTCTGGTGATTAAGGCATTTTCTCTTAAGACAAGCTTACAAACTCCTCCGATTCTGCAAGTTTGAGCAATGCTTTTACATTTTGTGTTGGGGTAGCAGATTTATCTTACTAAAGAAATTCTCATTAGTCTTACGAGCACTGGTGTTTATGATGTTCACCATCCGAGCTAATAGAGAATATATAACTAGGCCAGCATAAGATATCAATCTAGCCTGAAGAGCCAGATCTACAGTCTCAGCTAACGTGTCTACGAGTTTCAGCATGTGAACACAGACATTCTGAGATGGGACGTAATTGGCCGTAAGGGTGTGTCTTTTGATTTTCACTTTAAAATTAAGGAAGAACTTCTTACATATGGAGTTGTCAGCTACTGTTCATGTTGGGTTTATTCTTGGCGAGGCAGAGCAAGAGATTGAATGACCTTAGTGATGACTTCTAACTTTAAGTGATCTACCTCAACAGAAATATTGGCTCTTGGCCTGAGTAGTGTTGTTACTGTTCAATGGTAGAATCCATATGTCATGAAAACATAAGAATGGACTTGGACATGGAGGAACTTTTCTTAGCCCATTTCAAGAAAGCAGACATTTGTCTGCCTAATGAATGGGGAAAGGTGGCCATTCTTCAAAGAAAATGTTCTTCTTTTAACTTTTCCAGCTGGTCTCCTCCAAGATACAGGTCAGCAAGCTTGAAAGCAATCTGAAACAGAACAAGGCCAGCTGTGCTGACATGCAGAAGATGCTGTTTGAGGAACGAAATCATATTGCTGAAAAAGAGACAGAGTTACAGGCAGAGCTGTTCAGAATGGAGCAACAGCACCAAGAGAAGGTAAACTAGCAAGCCGAGAAGCTATACTGAGGAATAAACCATCATTGCTTTCTGTTGTTAGTTTTAAAAGATAGTGGGGGTATGATGTTTCCTTCAAAAGACCATGTAGCTGGAGCACCTAGTTTGGGCAGTGCGGGGAGGGGTCTGTTTATGTTCCGTCCTAGTTCAACAACTCTGAGGCAGGTTCCCTGATGCCCCCTGCCCCTGAGCTCCTGTGTGCCACCCTCCCCGCCAGGACCTCGCCCAGGCCTTGTGTTCCAACAGTTAACATGCTCAAGGTCACACAGTAAATGGAAGAACTGGCATCTGAATAGCCTGTATTATACACCTAAGCAGAATTAAAGTCATAGAGGCCTTATAAGCTATGCCAAAGGGGTCAGGCTTTACTCAAGGTTTGCCTCTAAAAAATAGAATTGGATATTTGGGATACTCAGATGATCAAGAGAGCACCCCAATGCTGGAACAAATGAAGTTTGGGCTACACATTTATAGGAAACAAAATTTAAAGCAGTTAAGGTTATTCACAAAATAAGAAATGGTTCTCCAGCTACTCTCCAAAGTCTTCAGGTACCAAATCCCGGTTGACCTAGGATTCCAGTCATTTGCTCCTTAAATATACCAGCTCTGAGAGATGAGCGCTTTCAGATTTTCATTCACCAAACAAATCTGGGTTTATAAATCTAACACTGGAAACAACCTTAAAAGCTAGAAAGCTGCTTTTATAAAAAGTTTTCTGAGCAATAAAAAAAGACCATATAGTCTTTTCCAAATTTTGCAGATAAGAAACCTGAAACGAAGAGAAATGAATGACTTGTCTAAGTTTACACATACCAGTGACAAGAGATCTTAGCCTCCATTTTGGTATTAAGATTAACATGCCTGGTGAACTATGCAATTGTGCTTGCTCCTTACTACTTCAAGCCATGAGAGCAAAAGAGAACAGTTTAGCCCCAGCCAGGTGGCTCAGTTGGTTGTGGGTTTGATTCCCGGTCATGGCATATAACTAGGTTTCAAGTTCCATCCCCCGTTGGGGCACGTCTGGGAGGCAACTGATCACATGTTGTTTCTCCCCCCATTCCTTCCTCTCTCTAAAAATCAGTAAAAACATATCCTCAGGTGAAGATTTAAAAAGAGAGAGAGAGAACAGTTCCGCTAAATCACAGAGGAGTCAATCTGATCACTGCTTGGACTGAGCCCGATTTCCTTTTTTGTCTTATTTTTATTTGGTCACATTGGGTTGTATCTTTCTCTAGGTGTTGTACCTTCTCAGCCAGTTGCAGCAAAGCCAGATGGCAGAGAAGCAGCCAGAAGTGTCAGTCAGTGAAAAGAAACAACAGCTGCGGAGCACACTGAAGTGTCAGGTATAATGAGGCAAAGGTTTCCAGAGATGGGTTCCGAGGGCCTGACAGAATTATCTGATTTAGACCATTGTACTTACAGCAGAGAGCAATTAGGTGTTAAACAGGGTTGATAATGGCAGCCTCTACTGCTTTTTGGCCCTAGTTGATCAATTTAAGGTATTTAGAATGTAGCCACACATAGAATAACCTCCTTTTTGGTACAGAAATGACGGTGCATACTCAATACCAGACTCTGAGGCCTCCTGATTCTTTGCCTCAACATGAGCTCTAAATAGTTGAGAAAATTAAAACATCCAGTAGACTCCTAGGGACATTGAGCTGTCTCTTCCTGAGCCTGTTCTTCTGAGCTGAGACTTGACATATTTATAAAATGCCTAGGGTCTAAATTTCTTCCAGAGGCTGGGAACACCACACCCTTACTAGCATGTCAGAGCACTATTTTATCCAACTTAGAATCTTTTTCCTGATCCACCAGTCTCTAGGGTTTCCTTGGTACCTCCCATCGAAGATATAACCAAAGTATAGTTAAGGTCGTATGCATGAATCTGGTTGTCTTAAATGCCAGGAAGTTTAATCAGGCTTATTATTAGAGTAGCAAATAAACTGCCTAGTCTGTGTTGAGAAGGGTGATCAAAAGCATCTCTGACTTCAGAGAAACAGTTGTCTGCATAGGTTTCTTAATCAGCTTCCTGATGTGAATGAGGAATGAGAGGGTGGAGAATGGAAAAGAATAAGAAGGCATGTAGGGCAGAGTCCATAGTTTCTGTGATGGCTGTCAGGGCTGCTTGGGATGTTGGAATAGAGTTGCATTCAGGACACCTAGGAACGTGGCAATCGGGCATTTTTCTGGGTGCCAGTGCTTGCTGTGCAAAATCCATCTACTGCCAGCAACTTGGCAGCAGTATGTTTTCATCTCTGTGAGTTGTTTGGTGCCCCACATGTAGTGCCCAAAATAATCCCACCGATCTCTGTACTCTCTGGAAATAGGAAGAAGAACTTGAGAAGATGCAAGAAGTGTATGCTCAAAATAAGCAGCTTCTCCGAGAGAATGAAATCATAAAGCAGGTAATACAGCCTCCCACCCACTGAACAAGCCCGGGGAGACCCTGTTGCAACTGAGGCCAACCCTTGGGAGTAAAAGCCTGAATATGATGACTTGGCTGTATTTTAGGAGGTCGACATCGAGTTTCCATTTGACATAGTCATGTGCATTTCAAATTATATAAACACATTTTTTAATTTGCTCTTTTCTGAATTGAATCCTGATCTTGTAGTAAAGTGGAAGTCCTTCAACCTACTTTACTATTACCCTTGCCTCACTTTAATATGCTTTCAAATTGAGCTAGCTTAGAAATCTTTATGTTTGAGCCATGAACACTCTCAGAAGCTGCCCTGCAATATACACGTTTTCTCTTCTTTTCAAATAGAAACTGACTCTCCTCCAAGTAGCCAGCAAACAGAAACCTCATCTTCCTAAGGATACCCTTCTCTCTCCAGACTCTTCTTTTGAATATATCCCACCTAAGGTAAACTGCTCAGTGCCTATGATACCTTCCCATAGCCAAGGTTTGGAGTGAGTACACTAAAATCGCTTTTTAGAAGAGGTTGCGAGGTTAAATATCCAAATTCCAGCATCTCGATTTTCTTTGGACTCGCAGATAAAACTCTAGGACAGTCTTGAGGGAAATAGGCCTTCTCCCTCCATGGAAGATGGACTCTTGGCCATGTACAGACATGTAACACAGCTGAAGAGGAGGAGCAAAGTAAAAGAGCAGAACTCAGCTGTCCATCCCTAGGTACTTACCAGATCATGAGTCCCTCCCTCCTCAGATTACTCAACCTCTCCCTGCAGTTTCTGTCTCTTCAAAGACTCTGCAAGGCCAAAGGGAGAAGCAGAATTTCTTCTGATTGGTAAAGCCAAGTGGAGTATATTTGAGGGAGTCTGAAATCTCTGCTCTGGGAAGATAGCTGGCAACAGCTACTGTGAAGATATGATCCACATGTGTTGTTTTTTTTAATTAAATAACTATTCCAAACCTTTGTTCTTAGCCAAGACCTTCCCATTTTAAAGAAAAGTTCCTGGAGCAAAGCATGGACATCGATGATCTAAAATATTATTCAGAGCATTCTGTGAATGAGCCTGAGGATGGTGATATTGACGATGGGGATGATGAGGAATGGAAGCCAACAAAATTATTTAAGATACCCAAGAAGAACATCCAAGTGGTAGGAGGAAGCTCTCATCTCTGTCAGGGGTTCTAGTCTGTCTTCGCTGCCAGTGGGAATGTACCCGCCCCATACCTGCACCTGACCCCTGGATCCCATTCAGAGGCATTGGCTCCACCGAGGGGTGCTCATCAGGCCAGCTCTGTATGGAACCTGGGGCCAGCAGAAGGAGCTGCCTGAGTGTGCAGGTGGTTCTTTTCATGTCTGTGGGCTCTTACCAGTCTGAAAGGTAGTAGTGTTCTATACCATTTCTTCAGGCTGGTTCCAATGTGATCATAATCCTTCACATTTTTATAGCACTTTACAGTTTATAAAGCTTCTTCATATATGTTATTTCTTTTCAATTGTCACCAAAAATTCAATGAGATATTTATTATTTGTTTTACAGATGGATCTAAGGCCCACAGGAGGGAAATGACCTTGCCTAAGGTTATAGAAGTGATAGGGCTTGAAATAGAATATTCTGACTCCAAGTCCAGTTTGTTTCTATCACATCATGGTCATATCAGTAAAATTATAGACCAGAAGCTGAGTGCCTAAGAGAGTGATTTTGCTCACTAGGCTAAGGGGTAATGAGAATTATAGAAAAGGCTAAGAGTTCAGATCAAACACACTAGTTAAGGCTAGTTAGGAATAGTCTGACTTTGAGGCATGTTTTATTTATTTACATGATGACAGGCTTACATAATTATCAAATGTAGATGATTTATGTTAAAACATTAACTTCCCGGGCACTACAGTTTACTGCTACTGCAACTGTGCCCTGCAGTCACATTCTGCCTAAGAGAAGTTCACAAACTACCCTAGCTGGCTTCCTAGAAAGTTACTTGATTTAATTAGCTCATCGTGAACCACACAGGAAACTGAGCCTTCTGAAGCCACAACATCAGAGAGAAGCAAGTCATGAGGAATATATAGTCATGCTGGCATTTGGTCATTTGAAAAGAGTCAAAAATGCAATGTATTGGGCAACCTCAGAGAGCTTATAATCTAACTAGAGGACCAGTGCACAAAAATCGTGCAGGGGGCAGGGTGGGTCCCTCAGCCCAGCCTGCACCCTCTCGCAATCCGGGACTGCTGGCTCCTAACTGCTCGCCTGCCTGCCTACCTGATCACCCCTAACTGCCTCTGCCTGCCGGCCTGATCGCCCCTAACTGCCCTCCCCTGCCGGCCTGATTGCCCCTAACCACCTCTGCCTCAGCCCCCGCCACCATGGCTTTGTCTGGAAAGACATCTGGAAGATGTCCAGTCTAATTAGCATATTACCCTTTTATTAGTATAGATAGGAAAACAAGGCAAAGAAATAGAAGCACACCATAGAACCTCAGCATCTTCATCTCAGAGAAATGCACTGAGGGGTTTTTAAGGGTGACTGACTATAAAACCAAACCAAGTAGATAGAGTTTAGGAAGATGCCAGGAAAGAGATGACTATTGCTGCATTATAAGACAGAAAGGGAAATATATATTGGGGGCAACTGGGAGACCATTTCTGGCCCAATGAATAGCATATTGCAAAGATTTGGTAGTAGAGAGACAGAGGGTTGAGACACTTAGAGGAAATGGGACAGAACATGTCTGACTTTCATTTACTTAACAAACATTTATGGACTCTACTGTGGTTGAAGTGGAGCACATGAGCTGAGTACAGATTTAAAGGTCAGCTAAGTAACAGGAAGCAGAGTTGAAAAATACACACAAGAAATACATGGTAGAAGGCCTAAAACAGGTGAGGGAGTTTCCAAATGAGAAGCAAATGCAGGTATAGTTTCCTCAAGGAAAACTTACTATATGTTATAGCACTGTTGCTCTAAGCCTAAAAAAGAAATATATAACAAATATTTCAAGTAAATAGTATTGCTATCAATGACAAATCCTGTGCCTAAAACAGTGAGAGATGATTATTTTTTAGGCTTTCCCCCTGATTTTAAAACTCAAGAAGAGACTATATCTGGGCATTAAGGGGAGCAAGCTGGCATACAATCTAGTTTCTCCCTTTGTGTGACCTCAAAGTACATGGATGGTATGACTGCTCTTTGATCAGACTGCTCATAGGCAGACACTATACGTAGACCTTGAGGCTTTGCATGAAGGCCATCCTGATTACTATTGTTCCAACCCAGCTGAAGCAGGCTGGTATTATCACTAGGTTACTGAAAGGGAGACTGCAGCAAGGCACCAAAATGATGATTTCTCCAAAGCTACTGCTGAAAAAGTTAGCTTCCTCACTCAGCCATGTTTCCTGTGTGTACTAAGAACATGCTGAGGGATAGGCCATGTGCTATAGTTTTAAAAAGTAATAGCTTAGGAGCCAGATAGACACGGGTTCTAGTCTTGAGTTTGCCACTGGTGAGTTAGATGACCTTAAGCAAGTCACTTAATCTCCCTAGGCCTCAGATTCTTCATCTATGTAATGAAGGGATTATATTAGAAGAGGTGTATAATGTCCCTTTCCAGCACTAATATCCTGAGTCAGAATAACAAAGTTGTTATTGTTTTTAATAAATGGGTTTTAATAAATCTACCTTTATATGGTGTTGTATGGTAATCTCAGAAGTTAAAAGACGGAATGTATGCAAAAGCACCTTGTGACAGAATATGCAGGTATTGTTATTAAAGCATAGTAAGCATTTTACTAATACTTTGGCAGAAAATAGGAAGCAGGTATTTTTGTCTCCATCTTAGAAATGAAAGAATGGAGATGAACTTGGATGAAGTGACTTGTCCAAAGTCATGCCAAGTATTAAATACTAGAAGCCTGGTTCACAAATTCGTGCACAGGTGGGGTCCCTTGGGGGGGCCTGTGGAGATCGGGCCCCAGCTCACGCCCCCAGCCTCGCAGCCTCAGCTCGTGGCAGCCCCAACCCCCACAGCTGCCGCTGGTCACCATCTGCAGGGCAACCAGCAGAGCGATCAGGTCCCCGCTTGCACCCGCCTTGGCCTGGCACCACCCACTAATCTGCTCCACCATCTCATCACAGTCCCGCTTTCGTTGGGGCCCATCAGCGCTGGCTGTGCCTCCACTGCAGCCCGCTGCCAGTGCCATGTCACCGACACCCGCCATGTTCCGTGCCGCCCCCTGGTGGTCAGCGCACGTTATAGCGAGCGGTTGAACTCCCAGTCAAACGACCACCCAAGGGGACAATTTGCATATTAGACTTTTATTATATAGGATAGGATGAGAGCCCAAGTTTCCTAATTCCTAGCCTAACATTCGTTATGTTAAAATTTTTATCAGATCTTACCATTCTGAGATACAATACAACGCTGAAATCAGTGCTAGAAGAATTATAGACTCTAAAGCAGTGGTTCTCAAGCCTGGCTGCACATTAGGATCCCCAAAGGAGCTTTTAAACATGGGAGCTGGGGACCCCACCCCCTGATATTCTGATTTAGTTGGTCTGAGGTAGAACCTGGCCTTTCTGAAAACTCCCCCAGAGATTTCATATGTACAATTGGGGTTGAAAACTACTGGCTTAAAGGAACCCCACAGGTTCCTTTCAGCTCTACTTCCCACTCTATATAAAGAGTCCCTCTATTATAGTGATTCTCAACTGTGGTGTTGGGACATGCTGGGTGGGTTGCCAACAGTTGTGATACACACATGTGTACACATACACACACCACATACCTATATAATTGAGGTTATGTCTGTGGCAAGGTCATGCTCCCTCTCACATTCTGATCTTGTCCTGGTGTGAGAAAGAATAAGATGAAGTTGTAGCTAGTACATATGGCATTCATGTGAATATATCTGTCACGTTTGTCATGCCTGTTCTATTAACAACACTGCCAGATGTATTTCTAGCCTCTGCTTGCTTGAAAACTTCTGATAGTGGTGAATCTCACAGGGCAGCCCATTGTATTCCATAACTGTTAGAAAGTTGTTCCTTGTAAATCATCCCACCAGGTCTTGGCTATATAAAAGTCTAATTGTTCTTATTTATGACAGCCTTTCAGATAATATTCTCATACTATTAAGCCTTTGCATAAAATAGAGACACGTGGGCAGGGTACTAGAGTGTTTTTTGATGAATTTGTAAATGGCCAGAGGACCATACCCAGCCTATAGCAACCAATTAATCAGTGTCATCCTGGTGAGATATGTCTAGGACATGTTATAGAATTCTGTCTTTTGTCCTATCTTATTCAAAGACGCAAAGATTTTTTTATTTTATTTGAATGCCCAATGTTGGCAAGTATGACTAAGATGGGCATTCCTGTCTATTGCTATTAGGAATGTAAATTTGGTATAGCTTTCTGTAAGGCAACTTGAAAATATGTATCCAAAGCTTTAAAAATGTTCCTATCTTTTGGCCCAGTAATTATACACATAGGAATTTATACTAAAAAAATAGTTATTGGTGTGTAAAAAAAGATTTATTTACTCAACAGATCTTTTGAGCATGTAAGTATCAGGCACTGTTTCTAGGTGTTGAGGATACGGCATATGAGACAGGTAAGATCCTTGGCCTCATGAAACTGAAGAAAGACATTCTTGTGGAGAGAGATGTGCCGAGCCAGCTCAGCCAAGGGTTTGCAAGCCTGAGGGAGGGTGGTGAAGGATGAAGAAATGACAGACAAAGAGATTAAGCTGGGTCTAAGTGGATCTTCCTGGGCCTGGCTGAGGCCACAGAGAGAGATCCAGAGGCAAGCTGAGCCTTTATTTTATAGCCAGAGGTAAACAAGGGAGCGGTCACCATAGTTACAATGTTCTTGTGAGTTTCACTTGTTTTGGCAGCACTTGCTACATCTCCCTCAGCCCAATAGCTTCCCAGATAAGATCTAGGGAGTGTCATAAGGTCAAGCATAATTATGCTAAGGAGACTGTGCCCTCTAAGCTGGGACTTGTTTGTGGCTTTGCCAACAGGTCAGTCCGAGGCTTAAACCTATAGCCGCTCCCTACAGAGAGAGAGACACAGTAACCAGAAAAACAAAATCATTTTAGATGATAAGAGATAAGAAGAAAATATAGCAAAGTCACAGATAGGATAGGAAAAAAGTACTTCAGAAGAGGGCTTGGGAGAGGTCTCTGAGGAAGAGATATTTAAGCTGAGAGCTGAACAAAGTGAAGGAGCAAGTCAGGAAAGGAATCAGAGGAAGAACATTTTAGGAAAAGGAAACAGCAAATGCAAAGATCTTGGGGCAGGATAAACTTGGTTTATGAAGGAGCAGCTGAGAAGGCCAGTGTGGCTAGAGTGTATTGAAAAGTGGGAGAGAGTAGTACAAGGGCCATTCAGAGGGGTAGTCAGGACCACATTACAGAGGGCCTTTGTCTATCATGGTAACATTTTGGTTATATTTATGTATCAGGATGTTTGCTGTAACATGATTTATAATAACAAACAATTTCTTTTAATGCCATCTTAATATCTAATGTAGGAGTCTGGTTTAATAAATCGACATTTCCACATAATGAAATACTATATACAAGTATTAAATATTAAAATCATGGTTTTTGATTTTCAAATTTTATAAAATGATGTATATTACTCTCATAATAAAAAAGATATTATTTTGGTTTATTTTACCTTCACAACTACAGAATAATGATGATGGTTGTCATATGAAAGAGATGTAAGGGCTTGAATTTAATGGTAAACCCAGTATGAATCCACAAAGACATGACAAGGATGGGAGGGGAAACGCTACTGTGATTTTAGGCCTCATTAACAAGAATATTGGGAGGTGTCTGTGTCAATCTACTTGATAATGATCACACCGCATCTAGAAAGTTATGCTCATTTCTGGATGTCACAATTAAAGATTAACTTGGACAAACTGGTGTATAGTTAAGATGGCGAGGATTCTTGGAAACCATGTCATGTGGTGAATCATTGAAGGAGCTAGATATATTTAGCTTTGAGAGGATTTGTACAGAGGGGCACTGAGAGTGAAAATTATGCTCAGGGTTTGAACAACTGTGCTGTGAAAGTGGGGTTAAACTGATTCCATGTCATTCCAGATGACAGAATTGTGTCCTATGGTCAAACGTTATAGGAAACAGTTTTCATCTCAGGATAAATAGAAATTGGTATCATTAGACCAGGGATATTAGAGAGGTGCTTCAAACATCACATCAGACTTTACATGGTCACTGAGGTCTCTTCTGACTCATCCATCATTCTTTGAGGTCTGCCACTTGTTTGTTTCAAGCCAAACTATCCTACTTTCTCCCACCATTTCTCTTATAACATCACTTTCTATAACACTGGTCACCTATATTTTGTTTAATGGGATAGACTACTTCAAACAGGGTCTGGGAGCAGTTGCTCCCCATGATTTCTGAATTCCAAACTTCTGTCTGACTGTATTGCTTTTTGACAGCCATTTTACACTTTCCACTCAAGGAACTTCGTGACATCTCCAATCCTTAGGCCTTTTGTACAAAAACTACTTTTAAGCCAGATCTTCCTCCCATATTTTTTTTTTTACTAGAGACCTGGTGCACAAAATTTGTGCACTTGGGGGGACCCTCTACCCAGCCTGCACCCTCTCACAGTCCAGGAGCCCTCAGGGGATGTCCCCATGGGCCTCAGCCATCAGTCAGACATCCTTAGCGCTGCCGTGGAGGCAGGAGAGGCTCCCGCCACCACCGCTGCACTCGTCAGCCCTGAGCCCGGCTTCTTCTGGCTGAGCACTCCCCCTGTGGGAGCCCACTGACCACCAGGAGGCAGCTCCTGCATTGAGCGTCTGCCCCCTGGTAGTCAGTGCGCAGCATAGTGACCAGTCATTCCACTGTTCAGTCGATTTGCATATTGGGCTTTTATTATATAGGATGGCTGATTTGGGAGGAGCCTAAATGTCAAACTGAAATTGACCCCTGTTATAACTTTTACTTTGGGCCGATAATTTCAGACTGTCCAAATATTTTTGAATTGTGATTCTGTTATCTTCCATATTAATCATCCTTCCAGCTTTGTGTTGTTGTTACAGCAGATTAAAATGCCTACCTTGTAGACCGGTTATGAGATTTTTGTATTTGTATATTATATGAAAGTACTCCAAAAACTGTAAAGTGCTATACAAATGTAAATGATACCATTTCATTCATCAGTGATTCATTAAACTGCTAAATTATTAAAGTGCTGAGGACAAAGCTCAGGCTGACACTGAACAAACTGTAGAAAGTGAGTTGGATGAAGTACAGTTAGGTAGATCAAAAGATGTCAAGCAACTGTGCTCAGTCCTTAAATATACTGTACCTAACTCCACTACCAATTAGCTCACAGTTCTTCACTTTGCCCTTAAAATGATCATGAGAGTCTCTTTCAGTTTCCCTGCATTGTTATGATAGCCCTCTGATCTGTCTTTCAAGTATCCTATCCCCAAATAAATGGATTTGCCTGGCTTGACTTGTTCTTAGTAAACTTATGGTGGTTCACATTGATCTTTGTTTCACTAAAGAGAGGACTGAGGAGCCCTGGCTGGTATTGCTCAGTGGTTACAGTGCCAGCCCCTGCACTGAAGGGTCTTGGGTTCGATTCCTGGTCAAGGGCACGGTACCTGGGTTGCTGGTTCGATCCCCGGCCCTGGTCAGGGCACGTGTGAGAGGAAATCAGTCGATGTGTCTCACATTGATCTCTTCCTATCCTCCTTCCTCTCTCCTTCCCCCTCTCTCCCATTTCCTCCCTTCCACTCTGTCTAAAAAAAAAAAAATCAATGGAAAAAATATCTTCGAGTGAGGATTAACAAGAGAGGACTGAGGAGATAGAAGCTTGGTAAAGTTGATGGTACTTTCCATCTTTTCAGAAAGGTTTGCAAATGAAGGGAAGGCCTTTAAACTAGTCATCCTACCCTGTGAAAAGTGGGGTTAAACTGATTCCATGTCATTCCAGATGACAGTAATGAGTCTTTCTTTTTTAAAAAAATATATATATTATTGATTTCAGAGAGGATTGTGGAGAGAGAGAGAGAGAAACATCAGTGATGAGAGAGAATCATTGATCGGCTGCCTCCGGCATGCCCCTCATTGGAGATTGAGCCTGAAACCCAGGCATGTGCCCTGACTGGGAATCGAACCATGACCTTCTGGTTCATAGGTTGACGCTTAACCACTGAGCCACACCGGCTGGACGGTAATGAGTCTTTCTACAAATCTGTTTTTGCAGTGTTCCTGCAAGGGATGGTGTGGGAATAAGCAGTGTGGGTGCAGGAGACAGAAGTTGAACTGTGGCGTGGACTGCAGCTGTGACCCCACAAAGTGTAGGAACCGTCAGCAAGACAAGGTAGGATCAGTGCCATTGCCCCTTATTTTCCCCACTAGTTTCCGCCCTTTTCTTCATTAAATCTGGAATCTCCTGCACAGCTCTTCTACTCTTCTTTTCTCTGCAATCAGAAAAAGACACAGTTCGTTTAATCCTATTTGCTCACTGCTAGTCTGTCCACACATCCCCTTCAGAAACCACAGCCCTTCCCAGAAGATTCCCAGGTATGAGTTCCCCATTCCCCACCTTGACTATAATGTTTCTATAGTTTCTGAGGCAGGAACAAGGAACAAGAAAGCAGGCATTTACAGGCATATAGATATGCAGGATCTTAGCTGGAACTGTAAGGGCCACATGCTGAGGTGGCAGCTTCCAGGAAGGAAGTTAATCCTTCTGACATCTTGAGACATTAGTTACCTAGCCCCTCTCCATGGGAACCAGCTATTCTCTAGGAAAAGACTCACAGGAACTTGGTCTTTCTGACGGTCACTGTTGTGAGCCAAGGTAATTGTAGCTGTCCTCCTTATATTACTTCCAGGAATAGAAATCTCAGGGAAACAAAATGTGTTCTGAGAAAGGCAGCACCAAGCACGTCAGGTCCACATACTTGCCTTATGCCTACCTGTGCCCATGGCAAAAGCCCATTCCTACAGCTCCCTATGTGATAAGCAATAATTTTAGCAAGCTTAGTGTAATGATCATTCATCATGCATTTCTTGAACATCTACATGTAAGCAGTTTTGCCCTGGGTTTTCTATAAAAAAATAGAGGCCCAGTGCATGCATTCGTGCACCAGTGGGGTCCCTCGGCCTGGCCTGTGGGATCAGGCCAAAACCTGCTCTCTGCCATCCCCCAAGGGGTCCCAGATTGTGAGAGGGTGCAGGCCAGGCCGAGGGACCCCACGGGTGCATGATTGGGGCTGGGGAGGGACACAGGAGGTTGGCCAGTAGAGGAGGGACCACAGAAGGGCTCCATGGCGTGTCCTGCCCATCTTGCTCAGTCCTGATCAGCCAGACCCTAGCATCAGGCCAAAACCTGCTCTCTGCCATCCCCCAAGGGGTCCCAGATTGTGAGAGGGTGCAGGCCAGGCCGAGGGACCCCACGGGTGCATGATTGGGGCTGGGGAGGGACACAGGAGGTTGGCCAGTAGAGGAGGGACCACAGAAGGGCTCCATGGCGTGTCCTGCCCATCTTGCTCAGTCCTGATCAGCCAGACCCTAGCAGCAGTGTAACCTACCAGTCAGAGCGTCTGCCCTCTGGTGGTCAGTGCACATCATAGTGACTTGTCGACTGGTCAACTGTCTGCCCTCTGGTAGTCAGTGCATGTCATAGCGAGTGGTTGAGTAGCCTTAGCATCAACAAGACACTTAGCATATTAAGCTTTTATTATATAGGATACTTCTAAGGTAGGCAGTTATTAGAGGATTAAAGAGGTAAGGCTAACAATTGCAGATGTCTCAGGGACCTTGGGAGTCTATTCCTGTGGCTAAGTAAAATAAGTCAGACAAAAAGTCAAGTACTATATGATTTCACTCATGTAGGATATAGAACTGAAAGCAACAAATAAACAAACACACAAAGTAAACAAACAAAAACTCATAGAAACAGACAACATGTTGGTTACCCGAGGGAAGGAGGTGGGAGTAGTAAAGGGTGAAGGGGGTCAAATATATGGTGACAGAAGGAGATTTGACTTTGGGTGGTGGGCACACAATGCAATATACAGATCATGTACCATAGAAATTTATACTTGAAACCTATATAATCTTATTGACCAATGTCACCCCAATAAAAGATTAGACCCTAGGCTTCCTGACTCTTAATCCAGTTCTTTTTTCATAACAGAAGCTTATAATTCTAATCAAAGCTCTACCCCAAAGTCACCTCACTGCCTAAGTAACTTCTTTCTCTTGGCCTCGGTTTCCTTCTCTGGAAAAAAAATAATATAGACAACACCCTGTAGAGGTACTAAAAAGAATATTACAGATTGGAAAAAGGGAAAGTTAAAGAAATCACCAAGGCTTAGTCTTGTTTAAACCTCGCCTCATGATGCATCCTGTGCCACTATCCTACCTAGTCCTTCGCCTTCAGAAGCTGCCGTCAAGCACTATGACCCCAAGCAGGGTCTCCCTGAGACTTGCTTAGAAACTGATGAGGCCCTCCAAGCTGGTGTCTCTCTGGTTGAACGGGAACAGTGATTCTATAACCCTGGGAACTGAATTTCTAATAGCCTGTCTGCTTGATTCCCAGGATAGCTTGGGAACTGTTGAGAGGACCCAGGATTCCGAAGGTTCCTTCAAACTGGAGGATCCCACAGAAGTGACCCCAGGATTAAGCTTCTTCAACCCTGTCTGTGCCACTCCAAACAGTAAGGTAGGTAGGCTAAAAGGCAGGCATTTCCAGCTGTATTATGGTCCATCTCTGCCTTAGCTCTGACCGACAGTGGTGGGGGAAGGGGAGAAAGGGCCAATGTGCTTGTTGGGAACTGGGAATGGAGCATAGAGTCTGTTTCTTCCTGCTTCCTGCAGAGCAATCTTACGGAACACCTCATACTATTGGAAGTGTACTGGGCATCTGTGGGGGCTGAGCTGGGCTAAGCCTCTGCCCCCACCTGAGATGTAGTCATACCTGTTTCTTTCCCTCCTAGATCCTGAAAGAGATGTGTGAAGTGGAGCAGGTTCTGTTAAAGACTGCTCCAGACACCTCCTCCCTTGGCCTCCCAGACTTGAAACATGTAGCCACAGAATCCCAAGAAAATAAAGCTCCAGGGAAGAAAAAGAAACGAGCTCTGGCCAGCAATGTCAGCTTCTTTTCCGGCTGCTCCCCTATTGAAGAAGAGGCTCCCTAAAATTGGACTCATCTCTGCCCCAGTCTGGCTTACAAGACACCTTCTGGTTGCAGCCAGAGGAGGTTTTTTAATGACTCCTCTACATTTCAGGTTTCTTGCTGTTGATAAAAGGGACAGCATGTCACTGAAAAGGAAGGAATTTTGTTGGCTCGGTCCTCAGTCTCTAGCCCTCCAGCCCCAGACTATTGCTCTCTCCTCTCTAGAAGGGTGCTAAACTGCCTGCTGAAGACAGAACCAGCTGACCTTCCTGCTGACTCTTTGGGAACCAATCCCCAGTACAGTCAAGCTCTTTCTGATTTGCCAGTAGTTCAGGCTGCCTCCCAGGGCTGTCTTATCTCTAGGCTCTCTCAGCTTAATGACAGAGCCTACCCTGGGTGGGACGCCTGACACCCATCTTTCAACCCACCTCAGGAAGTGGCTCTTCATGGTCCTGAGGTAAATGAAATCTTTAAAAATGTTAGTTTTTTAAAAGAAATAAAGAAATAAAGCTTAGTGCTTCTATTGTTTGGAAAGATCCTTCTGTGCTATATTTTCAACCCGTGTTCCTCCGCCCCTGGGAATGCCAGGCAAGTAGCCAGGCCCCACCGCCTTGTCATGGCCCCTGTCCCCTAAGGGCCGTATGGAGCAACACATTATGTCTTCACGTCATTCTGCTACCTCAGAAAATTGGAATAAAACTAGCAAGGCCAGTGGCCTGATCTCCACTGTACAGCCCGCCCAGCCTCTAGATTTACAAGAAAGGGACATATTTACCAGGCATCCCCATGCACCTGCCACAGTTTTATTTAAAGTCACAAAGTTAGTGGGTAATGGAGCTAGAACTTGAACCCAGGTCTAATACCAAAGCTTCATGTGTTACTAGAGTGGCGGTGGTGGCAATCCCTAAAGCCCTACAGCCTGACTTCTTGCTTGAGCATATGCCTTAGGCCACACTGCTACCTGCTTTCTCCTTTGAAAGGGGAGCAGAGGGCTGTGCTTACTCCTTACTGGGCATCAGAGTTCTCCATCTCTGCTTAAAACTGCAAGGGGGCCAGCCCTAAAATGCCAAACACAGGTTGCTGACTGGCCTTAGTGCCTTCTGAAGAATTTTCAAGCCCTGGGCCTCTCATATCCATGCATTCTGAATCCCAGTCTCCCCTCTCACCACCCCGCCCCCAGTAAAAGCTTCCAGAGCACCTCCCAGAACTCAGCACATGAAAGCCCAGACTCCTCTAAAATCCACCAGAGCCAAGCAAAGGAAACTAAAGGACGATCTGCTGGGAATGAAGCCTGCAGGAGGACTAGCTGTCCTGCAGCCCTCTCTGGCCTTCTGCCAGCAGGCAGCCCTAATTCTCTGCATTTTAATGTCCAGGAAGCAAGAGAGCCTCTTCCATTGCCAACTAGAGCCCCTGGATACAATGGGAAAGCAGAGAGGGAGGAGGGCTGTCTCTTGGCATAAGAGAGCCAGTCTTCTCACTCTCCCAAACCCAGTGTGTGTGGGGGGATGGGTAAGCTATCCCCAGAGAGGCATCCTTTCCCACCAACAATGCATTAACCCACAGGCTTTGAGCCATCACATCCTAGAGCAGCGGTTCTCAACCTTTGGGTCGCGACCCCTTTGGGGGTTGAACGACCCTTTCACAGGGGTCGCCTAAGACCATCAGAAAACACATATATAATTACATATTGTTTTTGTGATTAATCACTATGCTTTAATTATGTTCAATTTGTAACAATGAAAATACATCCTGCATATCAGATATTTGCATTACGATTCATAACAGTAGCAAAATTACAGTTATGAAGTAGCAACGAAAATAATTTTATGGTTGGGGGTCACCACAACATGAGGAACTGTACTAAAGGGTCACGGCATTAGGAAGGTTGAGAACCACTGTCTTAGAGGGAAGGTCAGTCCCACCCAGAGCCCTACATTTTAACACTAAGCTGACTACAAGTGCTAGCCAGCCCTGTCTGCTGTGATGTAGTAACAGTATCTTTTGTACGTTGTGGACAAAAGAAAGGGCTACATAATAAACCTGACAAGCTCAAGGGAGGCCTGCGTGGTGGCCTTACAGACTCAGAGACCTAAAGTAACCACATAGGATGGTCTGAACATAAAAATTCCTAACTAAAACCAGTTTGAGGGGGAGTCACATTCTAGGCCTGTATATCTTCTTTGACATAGTTCAATCTTTACCCTAAGTGAGCCTGTATATTGTCTTTTTGCATCTAAGATAACATACCCTTGGAATGTCAGAGTAATCTCATCCAGATCCCTCAGGGCACACCAGAGCAGAGACTATGAACCCTTCATTGTTATCTTGTTGCCTACATACCATCTCTATGTGTTGTAAATGCTAACTATCCTGTACCCACCAATGTAAAAGATGTCTGAGTCTCTCCATTTCACTCTTTATCCAATTCAGAGATTTTCCTTCTTTTCTTTCTCCTGACCCCTTAATCTACCATCAATGGATTTCATGTAACCCTCCTTAAGTCTCCTCCTTTGATTCTAGTGTATAAACTAGGCTGTAAAACTGCCATTCTCAGAGCGTTTTCTCAATCCCTTGAGATTTTGCTTCCCAGAAATTGCCCGTTTGGCTCAAATAAACTTATAAAAATTATCTACAGGTTTGAACGTTTCTTACATCGACAATGTGTTCATCTTTCACAATCCAGTGACCCTAACTCCCTATACTCCTCAAATGATTCTTAGAAGGAGACTTTAGATGCCTTGGAGATAAAGCAGCTGGAATGATGCGAGTCTTGGCCATCCTGAATGAGCATATACTGTCTGGGGTGATGGATGGGAAGGTTAGGAGCCACAAAGCCCATGGGGACCCCGGCCTAGAAGCAGGGTGATCTGCTGTCCAGATATCAGGAAGTAGCTTGCAATTCTCTCTTCTTGATGCACTTTGCAAAAGTGGGAGTAGACTCCCAAGAGGGAAAGGAGGCTGATGAACGAAGGCTGTCCTCCCATGAAGCTTGAGACCAAATGCTGGACTCCCTCACACACACCCCTCCCCGGGGGGGGGGGCCTTCTCTGGAAAGTTGCAAAGTTGTGTAGTCACCTCCCCCCAGCTTCCCTCCCGCCTGCCAGTGCCCTAAGCCCTCGCCTCCCAGAGACAGGACAAAGCCCTGGCAGTGACTGAGGGGAGCAGGAGGAGGGACAGAGGAACCGGGAAGGCTGTACAAAAGAATTCCTCACCCCAAAGCCCCCTGACCGGCAGCAGCGAGTAAAGAAGCAGATCTGCTCTCCCTCCTCCTTCCCCCCTCCCATCTTCCCACCCAGACGGCACAAGCCAGAGAGCAGCTGCAGGCCTTCAGAGAGGACCCACACAGCCTCCTGTAGGTGGCAACAGTGCCACCTGTTTGACTGGTGGGGCAGAGTGGTGGACTGAAAGAGAGAGGAGGCAGACAACTCGAAGAGGATCTGGGAAGCGGTGCAGTGCAGAGCCGAGAGCAGAGCTGCCGCTGAGAAAAGGTGTGAGGGCTGGGAAGGCTGGGGGGCTACAGGCAGCGGGGCGGAGGCTGGCTCCAACCTTCAGGGATTGGGCAGCACCCCTGCTCAGCTTCCTTGAGGGTTTTTCAAGCTGCTCAGATCTGACCCCATTCTCTAGACAGCTCCTGGAGGGAGGTGGGGCTCTGGCAGGCAGTGCCTGGGGTACTGGGGGCAGGATCTGAGGAGGCAGGAGGTGCCGATGGAGCCCAGGACAGGCTACCACAACCCAGTCCCAGGGTGGGAAGAGGCAGAGCCTCCCTTTGGGATGACTTTTTCCTGGGAGGGAGCCCAGGAAGCAGAGAGGTTTCCTTCCCCCAGCCTCAGGCCCCCACCCCTCCACAGCCTACCCTAACCTCCTTTCCCAAGGCAAGCATAGTGTAAGGAGGGCTGTTTCAGGAGTAGCTACACCCTCCCTCCTTTCAGGGGCCCAGCCACTGTGCACCCCTCTAAGACTCCACGGCCTCAGGAGAGCTCAAATGACAAGGGGTTGTGTCCCACAGACCACACATACTTTGGGTGTATTTAGGAGCTCTTTACACACCCAAAGTCATCAACAAACCCATTTGTACTGCCAGCCACGAGTACACACGCACAGACAAGTGCTGACACAAATCGCACTCCTTCTTAGGATAATCACCATCACACACCCAGCCTAGTTTGGGATCAATTAAGCCAACTCAGTCTCAGCCTGACCCAAAAGCACAAGGTACAGGGATCGCCTGCCCCAGGACAACCACACCCCCCATACCTTTGGCCTGTATTTGTTGCACTTTCACCTAAGGGACCTCAGAGGGTGGGGCCCTGAAAAGGGGGAGGTGGAGACTGGGTTACTGATTGAGGTGGGGGGGGGTGACTGGGCGGGAAGTGATCGGACTGGGGCAAGAGGGCTTGGATTTTCCAGGTGTGCGGACAGGAAAAGAGCCCCTTAAGTCTGGGAGTGACCCAGACTGCCTGTTCCTCTGGCTTCCTCTTATTGGCTGTGCTCCCTGCCCCCCTGGAAGGTGGAGACAGAGAATCTTTCAGTCAGGGCTTTGTGATGTGTGTAATCTGTATCCATAGTAACTGGCCCACTAGCTAGGCCTCCCTTTAGCCCCAGGTCAGAACTGGAACTTCAGCCTCATGTTACTCCTAATTCCTGGGGCTGCCTGAAGCTTGGTTAAATCTGCCTCAACTTGTTGAATTGAGTTTGCCCCACCCCAGGCAGTTTCTCCTGTTAAATGGGCATGCTATTAGGTAGGAGAGATTGCGTGTTCATCCTGCAGGCCAACAAGCTGGATTTCCCAAGTGTCCCAGACTGACCAGGTATCCAGATTAAAGGGAAAGACCCTGGAGATTGTCATCCTTTGCTCACCTCCTCGTCCACTCTGGCACGCAGGACCTGCTCCATGACCTCCATTGCTGGGCAGCAGCCCAGGCCTTTGCTTCTCCATCAGGCTCCTCAGATACACTGGGAGGAAGGCTGGGATCTGCCTTCACCAGGGTCCCTGATGGCAGAGTATCTCTTCCCCCAGGCCCTCACCATGGCCAAGTCCCCCAACTGCTGCTCCGTCTGGGCCCGCAGCATCCACTGCCTGTATAGCTGCCACTGGAGGAAGTGTCCCAAGGACAGGATGAAAACCAGCCAGGTGGAGTAGGGATGGGGGCACCTGAAGTCCAAGGCAGAGGCCTTGTGAAGGGGAGAAGGAGGCTAAGGAGGCCACTGCGCTCAGAGGCAGCTGGGGGTGGAGGGAAGGGGCTTTCTCTCCCCAGGAAGAAAATCTCTCTCAAATATGGAAAGAGCTGCTGGCAGAGCAGAGCAGCCCAACGCCTGGCAGGAAGTCCCTTTAAGCTGCCATCCGTTGGGGACTTTGAGCTGAAAGTGGGAATCGGCTGTGAGCTTCTCTCCTGCTCCTTTACAGTGTGAATATATGTGGTTTGGCCTGCTCTTCTTCACTGTCCTCCTCTCCTTGGGCTGGCTGTACATCGGGCTCATCCTTCTCAATGACCTGCACAACTTCAATGAGTGTGTCATGGACCCCCTGCCTCAGCAAACATGTCAACCTATTCCCCACCCTGGGCCCCTGGGTGCTCAGTCATCCCCAGCCCTGCCCATCTCTCCTGCTGCCCAACATCCTTAGAAGACCCCTCCACAAAGGCTCCCCAGTCCTTGGTGTCCCTGGCCCTGTGAAAGGCTGCCCCTCACTACCTTGTAGTCCTCCTTCTTGGTCCACCCACCCCAACTCCCCTCAGGCCCCTGCTGACACCCCTTCCTGCACTCGGATACCTCCCTCTCCCCTCCCACAGATTCCTGTTCCGCCAGTGGGGACACTGGATGGACTGGTCCCTGGCATTTACGCTTTTTGTCTCTCTACTGGTCACATATGCGTCCCTGCTATTGGTGGGTACTGGCCTAGCCCCCACCTCGGCCCTTCCTTCTGGTTCAGCTCTACCCGTCCCACTGTGGGGAGGGGAAGAGGGAGGTGTCAGCCTGGGAAGCCCACCTCAGTGGCCCACCGCTTTTGGCACCTCATTACTTCCAACACCCTCTACCCCCAGCTCCTGGCTGTGCTCCTGTGGTTCTGTGGCCAGCCTCTACACCTGCACAGTGTCCACAAGGTAAAGTGGGAATGGGAGTGAGCAGGCAAGGGGGCCCCTGATCCCAGCATTTGGTTGGCTATATGTCGAAAACCTCACTATTCTAACCCCGGGCTCAAACTGAAGACCTGAAGCCCAGTAGATGTTTGTTAACCGAAAGAAGGAAAGTAAAGGAGTCAGGGGAGGAGAATGGTTCTGTTTTCATAGAATGAGGAGCAGCCCAAGTAGCCTATTCATCCCGGGTCCCCCAGGTGCTGCTGCTCCTCATTGTACTTCTTGTGCTCGCTGGACTCGTGGTACTGGATGTCCAATGGCAGGAGGAGTGGCTTAGCCTACGTCTGTCACTGTGGGTGAGTGGCTGATCTCCAGTCCCTGGTTGGGAGCCTGGGCCTGTGGCCAACCCCAGGACCTATCTTGCTCCCTGGTCCCCCAAAACTGCAAGTAGGTCTGAATTCTAAAAGTCAGGTCCTCAGAGAAGAAAGGGAGGACAGAGTCCTCCTCACCAACTCTCCTCCATAGGCCACAGCCCCGTTCCTTCACATTGGAGCTGTTGCTTTCATCACCATCCTGGCCTGGCCTGTGGCTGATAACTTCTACCATATCCACAAAAGAGGTACCAACTCCACTCCCACACACACCCTCGCTGGCCATCCATGCTTCAGCCTCCTGCTGCCTGATTCCCTGCACCTGCACTCTGCTTTCTGCCCCCAGAGCTCGCCCGCTGCCCCTTCTCCACAGCTGGTCCCCCACTCCTCACAGGCCACAAGATTGTGCTACTGTTCGTGTATTTTACAATTGTCCTGGCCATCTACCTGGCCCCCCTCTGCATCTCCTCAACCTGTATCATGGAACGCAGAGACTTATCCCCCAAGCCTAGGCTGGTTGGACACCGAGGGGCCCCTATGGTGAGTGTGGGCAGAATGCTGGCATGGCACGGAGGGTCTGCAGTGGCTAGGCCTGTGGGTTCCCAGGCTCCTACCCTTCCCTGTGACCGCCTCACCAATTCCCTCTTCCAGCTGGCCCCCGAGAATACCCTGATGTCCCTGCGGAAGACAGCAGAATGTGGAGCTAATGTGTTTGAGACCGATGTGATGATCAGGTGAGGGAAACTGGGGGCTGACAGACACAGCAGGGGAACTCCGAAAATGAGAGCAGCCCCAGAGCTTGGCCCTCTGACATCCTTCATGCCTTCAGCTCCGATGGGATCCCTTTCCTCATGCATGATGAGCACCTGAGCAGAACCACAGATGTGGCCTCTGTGTTCCCAACCCGAATCACCGCCCACAGCAGCGACTTCTCCTGGGCTGAACTGAAGAGACTCAATGCCGGGGCCTGGTTCCTGGAGGTGAGGACAGCGTCCTGGAAGAGATAGCCACCTGCAGGGGCCCTCAGGGCAGAGTTCATTCATTGATAAGCGAGTGCTGAGTGCTGTGCTGAGCAATAGGTATACAGTCTGCCCTCAGGTCATAACCTTCTAGTATAAATGAGAGCTTTGGCAACAGGCTATCAGAATATGAAAACTACAGCGATAACAGTATCGATAATTACTGAGTAGAGAGGTCACTGTTTGGCAGGGTGTGTGTGGGACAGGGTCAAGCGTAGTTTCACAGAAGAGGACACCTGAGCAGTTTTTAAGATGGACAAGGCAGGAAATGGGAATTCTAGTCAGAGGCAAGAACATGGGTAAAGCCCAGAAGTATGAAGAAGTGTTTTCAGGGAACAGAAAGTGGCTTGGTGGCACCAGGAGATAAGAGCAGTGGGAGGGGAGACTGGTGAGGGGAGCAAAGGCTTGGTTTAAGAAAACTTCAAATGCCAGGCCCAGGTGTGTGGACTCAATCCTGCAGGTGATGGAATACATTGCAAAGGATACTTAGTTTTTTCAGTTCCTCTTTTCCTGATTATGAAAGTAATACATGTTCCTTGTAAAAAAGTAAAACATCAGCCCTGACCGGTTTGGCTCAGTGGATAGAGCGTCGGCCTGCGGACTGAAAGGTCCCAGGTTCGATTCCAGTCAAGGGCATGTACCTTGGGTGCGGGCACATCCCCAGTAGGAGGTGTGCAGGAGGCGGCTGATTGATGTTTCTCTCTCATCAATGTTTCTAACTCTCTATTCCTCTCCCTTCCTCTCTGTAAAAAATCAATAAAATATATTTTTTAAAAAAGTAAAACATCAGCCCTGACCGGTTTGGCTCAGTGGATAGAGCGTCGGCCTGCGGACTGAAAGGTCCCAGGTTCGATTCCAGTCAAGGGCATGTACCTTGGGTGCGGGCACATCCCCAGTAGGAGGTGTGCAGGAGGCGGCTGATTGATGTTTCTCTCTCATCAATGTTTCTAACTCTCTATTCCTCTCCCTTCCTCTCTGTAAAAAATCAATAAAATATATTTTTTAAAAAAGTAAAACATCAGAGAAATAACTTAAAAATTAAAAACTCTCTCATAATCCAGTCCCCCTGAGATAGTCACTGTTAACAGTTGGGTACATATTCTATATATACATATGTATACATACAGATATATGCACACACACATATATATTTTTCATTTTGCACCAATAGGACCACTTCACATATTCTTTTGCAACTTTCTTTTTTTTCCCCATTTAACTCTCTATATATTTACATACCAGAGTGTTAAGAACAAGGGATATCTGGGTCGAATCCTGGTTTCACCACTTCCTAGCCTTGTGAGCCTGAGCAACATTCCTTAGTCTCTCTGTGCTTCATTTTTCTCATCTGTGAAATGGGAATAATAAGCGTAACTTGCAGGATTATTGGAAGGATTAAATAAATTAATACACATAAAGTACTTATTTTATCTCACATTTATTTTGTATTCATTTATTTGCTCATGTAAATATGGGCATATCTGTTCTTATTTTACACAATGAGTAATATTATGACTATGCTCCAGTTTCCTGCTGGTGACAAATTCACCCAATAATCACTTATCTGGAAAAGTCTTTTTTTTTGCACCATTATTTTTTTATTAGGACTTTATTTGAAAATGTGAAAGTATGTATTAAGAGAACATGTGTATTATCACTTTTTTATTGAGCTTATTGGGTGACATTGGTTACTAAAATTATAGAGGTTTCAGGTGCACAATTCTAGAATACATCATCTGTATATTGTATTGTGTGTTCATCATCCTAAGTCAAGTTTCCTTCCATCACCATTTATCCTCCCTATGCCGTCTTCTACCTTCCCCCACCCCCTTTCTCTCTGATAATCATCATATTGTTGTCTGTGTCTATGAGTTTTTGTTGTTTTTTAAAAATATTTTTTATTGATTTTTGGAAAGAGAGGAAGGGAGGGAGAGAGATAGAAACATCAATGATGAGAGAGAATCATCATCTATCAGCTGCCTCCTATGCCCTGACTAGGAATCAAACTGGTGACCTCTTGGTTCATGGGTCGACACTCAACCACTGAGCAACACTGGCCAGGAGTTTTTTGGTTGTTTTTTGTTTGTTTGTTTGTTTGTTTGTTTTTTGCTTAATGCTTTCACCTTTTTCACCCAGCCCTGCAACCTCCATCCACTCTGACAGCTGTCAGTCTGTTCTCTGAATCTGTCATCACTTTGTTGGTTTATTTTGTTCATTAGACTCCACATATAAGTGAAATTATATGGTACTTGTCTTTCTCTGACTGGCTTATTTCACTTAGCATAATGTTCTCTAGGTCCATCCATGTTGTTGCAAAAGTAAGATTTTTTTTTTTTTTTTTTTTTACGGCTGAGCAGTTTTCCATTGTGTAAATGTACAACTGCTTTTTTATCTACTCAGCTACTGATGGGCTCTTGGCTATTGTAAATAATGCTGAAATGAACATAGGAGTGCATATATTCTTTTGAATTAGTGTTTAGGGTTTCTTCAGGTATATTCCTGGAAGTGGAATTGCTGGGTCATAAGGCAATTCCATTTTTAATATTTTGAGGAAACTCTATACTGCTTTCTACAGTAGCTGCACCAATCTGCATTCCCACCAGCAGTGTACTAGGGTTCCCTTTCCTCCCCATCTCTGCAAGCACTTGTTTGTTGATTTATTGATGGTAGGAATTGTGAGGTGATATCTCATTGTGGTTTTAATTTGCTGACTGATGATTAGGGATCTTGTTTTCATGTCTATTGGCCATCTGTATGTCCTCTTTGGAGAAGTGTCTATTCAGGTCCTTTGCCCATTTTTAATTGGATTGTTTGTCTTCCTGGGCTTGAGTTGTATAAGTTCTTTATATATTTTGGAAATTAGCCCCTTATCAGATGTATCATTGGCAAATATATTCTCTCATTCGGTGGGCTGTTTATTCATTTTGTTAATGGTTTCCTTTGCTGTGGAAAACCTTTTTAGTTCAATGTAGTCCTATTTATTTATTTTTCTTTTGTTTCCCTTGCCAGAGGTGATATATTAGAAAAAATATTGCTAAGAGCAATGTCCAGGATTTTACTGCTATGTTTTCTTCTAGGAGTTTTATGTTTTCACATCTAACATTTCAATCTTTAATCCATTTTCAGTTTATTCTTATGTGTAGTGTAAAATGGTGGTCTAGTTTTTTTTTTTGCACATATATGTCCAATTTTCCCAACACATTTATTGAGTAGACTATCTTTATCTCATTGTATGTTTTTGTCTCCTTTGTCAAATATTAATTGACCATAAAAGCGTGGGTTTATTTCTGGGCTCCCTATTCAGTTCCATTGATCTATATGCTTGTTTTTATGCCACCACCATGCTGTTTTGATTACTGTGACCATGTAGTATAGTTTGATATCAGGTAGTGTGATACCTCCAACTTTGTTTTTCTTTCTCAAGATTGCTGTGGCTATTCGGGGTCTTTTGTGGTTCCATATAAATTTTTGGAATATTTGTTCTAGTTCTGTGAAATAAGCCATTGGAATCTTTTTTAAAGTATATTTTTATTGATTTCAGAGATGGAGAGAGAGAGAGAGAGAGGGAGGGAGAGAGAGAGAACACATCAATGATGAGAAAGAATCATTGATCGGCTGCCTCCTGCACACCCCACACTGGGGATCGAACCCACAATCTGGGCATGTGCCCTGACCAGGAATTGAACCATGATCTCCTGGGTCATAGGTCAACACTCAACCACTGAGCCATGTCGGCCGGGCGCATTGGAACCTTGATAGGAATGGTATTGATTCTATAGATTGCTTTGGGTAGTATGGACATTTTAATGATGTTAATTCTTCCTATCCATGAGCATGATATATGCTTCCACTTGTTTGTATCTTCTTCAGTTCTTTCTTCAGTGTGTTATAATTTTTCATCCTTGGTTAAATTTATTCCTAGGTTAAATTTATTTTTTTTATATCCTTGGTTAAATTTATTCCTAGGTATTTTATTTTGGATGCAATTGTAAATGGGATTGTTTTTTTTAGTTTCCCTTTTGTTGTTGATGTTGTTGTTAATCCACACCTGAAGATATTTTTTCCATTGCTTCTTTTAGAGAGTAGAAGGGAGGGAAAGAGAGAGAGGGAGAGAGAGAGAGAAACATTGATGTGAGAGAGACACATTGATTGGTTGCTTCCTGCACACACCTGACCAGGACCAGGGATTAAACCTGCAACCCAGGTATGTGCCCTTGACTGGGAATTGAACCAGAGATCCTTCGGTGTGCAGGCTGATGCTCTAACCACTAAGCAAACCGGCCATGGCAAGTTTCCCTTTCTGATAGTTCATTGTTAGTGTATAAAAATGCAACCAATCTCTGAATATTTATTTTGTATCCTATTTTACTGAATTCATTTATCAGTTCTAGGAGATTTTTAGTGGAATATTTAGAGTTTTCTATATACAGTATCATGTCATCTGTAAAAAATGACAGTTTTACTGCCTCCTTTCCAATTTGGATGCCTTTTATTTCTTCTTCTTGTCTGATTGCTGTGGCTAGGACTTCCAGTACTATGTTGAACAGGAGTGGTGAGAGTGGACATCCCTGTCTTGATCCTGTTCTTAGGGGAAATGGTTTTAGTATTTCCCCATTAAGTATGATGTTGGCTGTAGGTTTGTCATATATGGTCTTTATTATGTTGAGGTATGTTACTTCTATTTCCACTTTGAGAAAAGTTTTTATCTCAAATGGGTGCTGGGTTTTATCAAATGCTTTTTCTGAGTCTATTGATATGATCATGTGCTTTTTATCCTTTATTTTGTTCATGTGGCATTTCACGTTCATTGATTTGTGAATATGGTACCAAACTTGCATCCCTGGGATAAATCCCACTGGATCATGGTGTATGATCTTTTTAATGTATTGCTGGATCCGGTTGCTAATATTTTGTTGAGGATTTTAGCATCTATGTTTATCAGGGATATTGGCCTATAATTTTCTTTCTTTGTAGTGTCTTTATCTGGTTTTGGGGATAATGCTGGCTTCATAAAATGAGCTTGGGTCCACCATTATTTTTTATTCCTTTTTTTAAAATCCTCACCCTAGGACAGTGATGGCGAACCTATGACATGTGTGTCAGAGGTGACACGTGAACTCACTTTTTGGTTGATTTTTCTTTGTTAAATGGCATTTAAATATGTAAAATAAATGTCAAAAATATAAGTCTTTGTTTTACTATGGTAGCAAATATCAAAAAATTTCTATATGTGACACGGCACCAGAGTTAAGTTAGGGTTTTTCAAAATGCTGACACGCCGAGCTCAAAAGGTTCACCATCACTGCCCTAGGATGTCTTTTAAAAATTGATTTTAGAGAGAGAGAAAGGGAGAGAGAAAGAGAGAAACATTGATGTGATGTGAGAGTGAAACATCATTAGGCTGCTTCCCATATGTGCCCTGACTGGGGATCAAACCTATAACCTAGGTATGTGTTCTGACCAGGAATCAAACTGCAACCATTTTGGTACACCACAATTTTTTGGTACACTAGATGATGCTCCAACCAACCAAGCCACCCAGCCATGGCTGACATTATTTTTGAAGGATATTTTCACTGGATATAAAATTCATCAATGAGATTTTTCCCCCCATAGCTTTAAAGATTTCATACTTGACATCTTTATTATATTCAAGAAATCGACCATAATTTTTACCTTTTTTGCCATATTCTTTTTGCTTTTGTGGAAAAGTAGATATATGGAAGTCCTTACTATGACATTCCAGAGTGCTTCTTGTCTATCTAATCTTGCAACATTCAAAGAGGAAATTTTCACCTGCCTCCTAGACAGGGTCTGTTGCATAAAGTACTTCTAACACTACCTGGCACATAGTAAATACTTAATAAGTGCTAAGTAACTTGCTTTTACCAGGTCAGTGATTAGGAGGTAATTTGTTGATTACAAAGGGAGGAGAAGAGTGACCCAGGTTTGGAATAGCCTCTAGGAGAAATGGGAGAGAGAGAGTATATCAAGGACAAGAAAACAGATGGCTAAGTGGCACCAAAGAGAAAAACAGGACTGCAGTGCCAAAAGTCCACATAGTGTGCTCTGCCTCCTGGGGCAATTGTAGAATTGAATCAAAATTTGTACCTATAGAACAGGTAGGTTAAGAAAGCTGTTGATGGTGCTGTGGAAGAGTTCAAACTGTGGAGGGACCATGGGAAGGGGATGTAGGTACAGCCAGAAAGCTGCTGATATTGGGATAAAACCAAGGGGTCACAATCCCAGAGATCTTCATGAAACCAAAGAGAAATTGTAGTGGGAGAGAGGAAATTAGGAAACTGGGAAGGTAGGAGGGTGGGTTAACAGATTAAGGCATTAGAAGGTCTGGAAAAGGCCATCGTTTGAGGAAAGAAAGACCCTGACAACGATGTGGGCAGAAGCTGGACCCCAAGTCAGGGAATGAGTGAGATGATGAGGATGGGGGAATGACCCAGAGGCTTCTTCTAGTCTTGAAATAATTTTTCTCTTCTTATAGAGGCCACCCTTCTGGGAGGCCACACAGCTATCAGGCCTTGATCGGAAAGAGGCTGAGAATCAGACAGTACCAACATTGGAAGAGTTATTGAAGGAAGCTGCAGTCCTCAACCTTTCCATTATGTTTGATTTGCGCCGCCCACCACGAAACCACACATACTATGACACTTATGTGAACCTGACATTGGAGACTGTGCTGAATTCAAGGGTCCCTCAAGCCATGGTGATATTGCCAGGACCCCAAGTGCCCCTCACCACCCCCCACACTGCCTTCCCTAGGCCATGGTGACAATCTTGAGCTGTCCCTGCCCCAGGGCCCCACCTAGCTCATTTACCCCACTCTGTGGTCAAACCTCTCTGCTCTGCCCCTGCCCCTGGAATCCCCAGGCCTTCCCCAGCTTCACACCCATCCTCCTTGAACCACAGGTCCTTTGGCTCCCAGATGAAGATCGGGCTAATGTCCAACAACGGGCACCCAGAATGCACCAGATATATGGACAGTTGGGAGTCAACAGAACTGAGAGGCCCCTGTTTCTCAACCTCCCCTATCAAGACCTACCACAATTGGATATAAAGTAAGTTCCAGAGGAAAGGAGCTGAGGGGATCACATGCAGCTTAATGGTGGGGAAGAGCCAATGTGGGGAGAGCAAAGACCACTCATTCATTCACTCATACAACAAATATTTATCAAATGCTTACTGTATGTCAGGCACTATTTATTGCAGTCTTTGGGCATACAACTGAAAGAGAAAAACAATAAACCATTGAACAAAATATATGCATATTGGACACTGATAAATGATATGAAGGTGATAAAATGGGGAGATGCAATAGAGCAATTGGAGTTGGGAAGGAGGGGTTAGTGAGGGGCCACATTAGGAAGAATGGTTAAAGAAGTGGTGCCTAGGCTGAGACCTGATGCATCACAGGAGTGAACAATGAGGAGAGCTGCAGAAGAGCAGGAACAGCAGCCTAATGAGCACGGTGGAGGTGAGGCTGGAGAGGTGGGCAGGGAACAAATTGGATCAGACCTTGTAGGCCAAGAGAAGGGTTTTAGCTTTCATTCTACACCAAAGAGATAAGTGCTAGAGAGGATGGATGCAAAGGAGAGAGGTGATAGAGTCACCAATGTGAGCTAGGCCCCCAAAGCTGACCCATCCAGTAAACATGATCAACCTCAAAACATTCAGCCGCCAAGATCTTTTCTAATGTTCTTCTGGTTAGATAGAACAAAAAATGTGTGCTGAATGATAGATAGACCAGTTATAATAAATATTTCAAAGACCTTTCCTCAAGTTGTCACCATGGAGGGAGACAACATTGGGGTGGCCCTCACCTTAGTCTTGTCCTGGTCAGCATTGACTGCCGATCACATTTCCAAAACATGTGACTTGGTAATGAATATATCAATGATGAAAACAAGGCCCTGAAAGGTCTAAGCACTCTGAGATGATAGGCCAAAGGTACCAAGATGAAACGCAACAGGGATAGATGTAAAAACCCATATTTGGGGCTCAAAAGAAGCTCAGTTGCTCAAAGACAAGAGAGGAGACACTGGCATCAGCAGAAATGTGTGCAAAAGACCAGGGCTTTGATTGGACACTGTGCATAATGAGTCATCGGTGCACGTCATATTGCTGAAACTAACCTGACCGTGGGCTGCCTTCATACAGGCATAGTGCCGAGAAGGCAAGAAGAGTTTTGTTCTACTCAAAGCTTGTGCAAGCCACCTGGATATCATTTGCAGATGCATACGTTGAAAGGAACATTGATAAACTGGAGTAAGATCAGGTTAAATGGGTTTGTATAGTGAAGGAGATAAGCCAGATTCCAAGCCCCAGCTAGAAGGACAGTGACTGTTGGGCCTACAAAAGAGAAGACTCAGGGGGACATGGTCAATTTTCCTCAGACCATTGAAGGGCTGTCATGGGACAAAGAGGAGAGACACATTTGTGTGACCCCAGACAGGAGCTGCCTCCCATGCCTTGTGCCCCATGGTTCTGGATGTCACCTGTTTCTTTTTCGCCTCCATAGAGCACTGCATGAGGATAATGTCTCAGTGAACCTATTTGTTGTGAACAAGCCCTGGCTCTTCTCCATACTCTGGTGTGCAGGGGTGGATTCGGTCACCACCAATGACTGCCAGCTGCTGCAGCAGATGCGTTACCCCGTCTGGCTTATTGTGAGGGCTCTACTACTGTCAACCTCCTCCTATTTCCTCTTCCCTGATTCTCCTTAACCCTGCCCCTCTCTTCCTTTCTCCCCCATATACTACCTTTGGGGCTCTGGCCACCAACAGGGGCCCTTTTTTTTTTTTTACTCCCACAGCCCCCTAAAACCTACCTAATGATATGGCTCCTCATTGATTGTGTCTCCACCCTGCTGATTTTGGGGCTGTTCCTCCTCCGTGGGTGAGTGTTTTGTGCCTTAGCTTTCTGGATCTTTATTCTCCCCAGGGTCCTGGTGATGGGACTGATTCAGATTCATACTGCCTGGAGTTTGGGGTTGGGTCTGTTTGGTTCCTTTGAGATTCTTAGACCCTTCCTTGGACACCAAATTGGCTTGAATCTGGGAAAAGCAGTTTGGGGGAACCCAGGTTCAAAAGGTCATGCTTGAAGGTGGCTGAACTCACCATGGGAAGCTTTTTTCCCTGTAGGAGATGTGCCGAGAAGAGAGAGATAACTGGTAAGAACTTTCTCTCATTACCTCATTTTTCTTTTCCACTAGCATTCCCATTACTCATTCTTGCCATGTCCTCCTCACCTCTCCAGGCTTAGAAACAGCTGTGCTGCTGACCAGGATCAACAATTTCATAATGGAGTGAATGCCCTGCTCTAGGCCCCCACCAGCCAGAGTCTGAGGCCTGTCTACATCTGTCAACAGCAAGGAAGGGAGCATGGCTACAGTGGAATGGTGGAGTGAACTTTGAATTATGAGGGAAATGGTGGATATGCCCCAAGCTTCTATGGAATCTTCTTCCCTTTGGGTTTTGACCTGAGGTGGTGGTGGAAGACAGTAAATCATGAGAAATGTCTCCCAAAATAAAACGTTCTAGAACAGGGGAGATTGCCAAGAAAATGTTTCAGACTTGTGTGCACATGTTCTTGTGTAGAAAGCACAGGGTGTATCAGGGATGGAACAGCTTGGAACAGTGACTGAAGGAGAGATGAAAACGGCCTTCCTGGAGAACCCACCCCACTCCATTCACTGTGTCGCCCCAACCACTGCAATTTAGCTGCTTTCCTGCATAGAGGCTGGGAGCTAAAGAGCCCATCTAGCCATGTAGTTCTATGCCTACAGGTGGCTTTTTACTGCGTACAGCCTTTTTCTTCAAGACACGTTGGTTCATGTTTCTTGTCTATTAATCCTTTTCTGAATGAATTTAATTTCCATTTGTCCACAGTCTCATCTTTTCAGCACTGGTGCTAGGGGGAGGATGCACCCTCCATCTACGGTTGTATGTGATGTGACAATGAGGGGTCATCATGAGGAGATGTATGGGTTGGAGGGGGGAGGAGGACCACTTGAGGCAATGAAGCACTGCAAGAGGGGAATGAACGAGCCACTGTCAAGGGAGGGGGTCAGGCGGCCCAAGGAGCATGGTATAGAGTTGCTTTGTAGCTCCACCTTGTGGTCACCTTCCCCAAGAGGAGGGCTGCGCGTCGGTCATGTTTGCTGAATGACACCTGTTTCCCCTGCCAGCTGGGGACCTGTGTCCTTGACTCCGGACCCTGAGGGGCAAAGTCCTATTTCCACACGTTTTCGCTTATCTGGGCTGCGCACAGGGTCTGGGTCCCCGGTCTGCCTTTCCCTCGAAGAGCAAGTTTCCAGTGTGTTTTCTGCTCGTGAGTTCCCAGGTGACTAGCGTGGAGCTGGCCTAGGATAAGTCGTCTGATAGAAGGGGGTGGTACTAAGGCAAAAAGGTGAACAGGAGGGGGCTCTATGGCTGACTCTTTGGTCCCCCACCGCACCAACATTTGCCCCAATTTACATCTCCACACGAAGCCAAATCGAATTGAGGCTTTGGCAAGGGAGGTTCGGTTCTCCATTCCTCCCCTCTCCCCAGACTGGAACCTGGGAGCGCACTAGCACCTCGAGACAAGCCCCTACTCCAGCGGTTCTTAACCTGTGGGTCGCGACCCCTTTGGCGGTCAAACGACCCTTTCACAGGGGTCGCCCAAGACCATCGGAAAACACATATATAATTACATATTGTTTTGTGATTAATCACTATGCTTTAATTATGTTCAATTTGTAACAATGAAATTGGGGGTCACCACAACATGAGAAACTGTATTAAAGGGTCGGGGCATTAGGAAGGTTGAGAACCACCTACTCGGTGGCAAGGAAGCCCCTGGAACTACATTTCCCAGAATGCCCAGCCACTTCCGGCCTCTAGATTTAGATTAGGGCGAGTTTGTATTTGTGTTCCCACCCCCACTCCTCCAGGACAACGTCCCTTCC